CTAGGATGGGTATGTCTCATAGCAGTCTCCCCTTGCAGACCTTGCTGCATAAATTAAATTCTAGTATTAGAAAATAAATGATCAACACAATTCAAACTCTTAGTTGAATGTTAAGCTTAAACTCACAGGGTTCAATTCTGGTGAATTAATGTATTCACCAAATCTGTGCTTCTTCTTTCTTCCTACTCCATCAGATTGACCAGACTGCATGATAAAAAAACAACAACAAGAATAGACACATATAATTAGCAATATAGCACTATTAATAGGAAATTATAGATCATAAGCAATTACCACTCAATAAACTTACATTTTCATCAACAAAATATCTAGCAATGCATGTTGTCCTAGTGTGACCAGGCTGCTTACAATATCCACAAGTTGGAGGTTTTCTTGGTATTGGCTGGTGAGTGCTTGCTGATGCTCCCTATTGTGGCATAAAAAAAAATGTCATTATATTATCATTTGTTGATAATAAAGCAGGTGTAAGTAATTAACTTACTTCACTTTCAGTTGGCCTTTTGTGGCATCCCCTCTTGTTGTGTCCAGGTTGCTTGCAAAGTGAGCACGTGATTTGTCCACCTTCCTTTGTCATCTTTTCTAGCTGTCCCACCTTCACTTTTCTGGTTTCATTATCACCCTTCCTCCTGTTTACCTTCGGCCTACCCTGCTTGCATCTAAATGGCAGTGGTTCTAGTGGCTCCCCATGATAATTTTCCCAGAATTTCTCACCGTTACAAGGCATGATTGGTACATTGTATGCACGTTCATACTTAACCCTTTTGTACCAAATTGATACAAATTCATCTGGGTCGAAGTTACCTAAACCTATCACAGACAATGCATGAGGACATGGAATTCCTGTTAAATCCCATGCTCTACAACTACAATTTTTCCCAATCAAATCCACAACAAATTTGTCATTCCAATGCCAAACATCATAGTGAGTCCTACCATTCCATTCACATCTGCATTTGGCAGCTTCAATCTTATGTGCTTCTAATTTCTTCCTAATTCTGGGTGCTATATCTCCTCTTCATTTGTTGATTTCTTCTCTGTTCTTAGCCATCCTAACCATCACCTTAACCCTTATATATTCTAACAGTTGGATGATTGGCATATACCTGGCATCCATTATCCAATTGTTGAAGGTCTCATTCATGTTGTTATCCACGACATCACATTTACATGATGTGTCAAAGAATACCTTGCACCACAACTCTGGTGGGATTGATTTTAACGCATCATGACCTTCCACAGATAAATTTATGATCTCCTCCATGTTTTTGTTGAATTGACCTTCATATGTTGACCTTGCAGCAATCCAGAATCTTTTCTTCAATAGTTTCCCTCTGAAAATTTTTTGCCAATTGACATATAAATGCCTGGCACACAATCTATGCCTAGCCTCGGGGAAAACTGTTTGTCTTGCATTAATCAACCCCTACCAAATTGTGTTTAATGAAAACAAATAAGGTTGATGATCGATAATAAAGTCAACTGAATTATACAATAAATAGCATTGATAAGTATAGTAACATAAAGATATTGATAATATAAATTAATTCATAATAGACTGTGCACACTTACAAGATGTTGGTCCGAAATAAACGTTAAATCTCGCCCAGTGTGATTTGATAGATCATCAGCTAGACATCTAAAAAAAAATGTCCATGAGCTGGTAGACTCTGAGTCAACAACAGCCCAAGCTATTGGGAACATTTGATTGTTCCCATCCCTTGCAACAACTGCCAAAATAGTTCCTTTGAACATCCCCTTGAGGAAACAGGCATCTACTCCAATTACTGGTCTACAGCCCAGTAGAAAACCCTTCCTACATCCTTCTAGACACACATAGATTCCTTTAAACATAGGTTTTCCCTCTAAAGTTGTGGGTGGCTCACTATCAATTTGAACATTTGACTGAGGGGACAATCTCAACAGCTCTTCTGCATACCCTCTTAACTGAGCAAATTCCTTCGTGTGAGTTTCCTTCACCTCCTTCATAATCCTTTCCTTTGCTAGTTTACACTTATCCCTTGAAACATGAACCCCTAATTCTAAATGAGACAATCTCACTATCTCACTGATTCTAATCTGCGGATTTGCTATAATTCTCTTCCTATGGTGTTCTGCAAGTACCCTCGACCCAACCATATTGGACTTCAAACTCCTAAAGCAAGTGTGTTCCCTGCAATATGTCTTCACCTTAAACGTCTTGTCATTTTTATCAAAATTGGAAAAGATACTCCAATTGCACTGTTGACCAACACAGTGAATTCTCTGCCTGGTGGGGTCACTTTTAACAGGTTTCAACTTACAGCCTTTTTGAATTTGGTATTTAGCTATAGCTTCCTTAAACTGTGCTACATGCTCAAACCTCATCCCTACCTCAAACCAAACAGTAGTCCATGAAGGATTAAACCATAAATCACTACTTCTAGTACTTCTTACATCTTCTTCTTCTTCTTCTTCAAGTTCATGTTCATCTGCAACATTGTACTCACCTGAATCATCACTAGAAACCTCAAATTCATCTTCACTATTTTCAAAGCTAGAATCAGAACCCAAATCTCCATGGTCATCAGTTCCTATAGGAACTCTTTCACCCTCTTCATTAACTGTGGTAGG